CTGCAAAAGTAAATACAAAGGAGGATGATTATACCATAGCATTTCCTAGCCTTATATAAAAACATTATTGCCAGGCACCAGGATGATTATACCATAGCATTTCCTAGCCTTATATAAAAACATTATTGCCAGGCTGGACAGAAAAGACTGTGAGACTCCTGCCTCCGTAAACTACCCCCCAGAAAAGCTGGAAATGGAGTTGTAGCTTAAGTGGCAGAGCGCTGGCCTTGAGCAAAAGAAGCTTAGGAACAGTGCCCTGGCGCTGTGTTCAAGGCCTAGGACTGGCACCAAAACAAACAAAAAAACATTATGGTACCCCTAAAAGCCATAGCATCTGGGCCTGGGAAGTTGACTCAGTGGTAGAGTGCCTGCCTTGCATGCATGAAGCCCTAGGTTCGATTCCTCAGCACACATAAACAGAAAAAAGCCAGAAGTGGTGCTGTGGCTCAAGTGATAGGGCACTAGCCTTTAGATGAAGAGCTGAGGGACAGTGCCCAAGCCCAGAGTTCAAGCCCCATGACCACCAAAAAAAAAACAAAACAAAACCCATAGCATCTTTCACTTACACTGTGATCATCATTTTTGTTACTGCTTTCTTAAGTATCACCTGTAAAAGTATTTGAGACCTTATTCTCTAAGGTAGTAATAATAGGGCTGTTTATTCTCTAATAGGGCTGAGGATGAAGAAGATCTGACATGGCTTGCTTTGGTAAATGAAGTCTGGGTTAAATCAATATAAGGAATTAAAAGACATTTTTGCCTTGGTCCAGTGAACACCTACTGTTATAAAACACTTGAAAATAGTAGAATTTGCACATTTATTTCCATTCTTCTAAGTCTTTTCCTCAAAAGCTAGCAGACTGTGTGTGTGTGTGTGTGTGTGTGCGCGCGCGCGCGCGCGTGTGTGCGCGCATGCGCGCTGTCAGCTTTAGAACATGGCCATGGAAATGGGTAGGGCCTTCTGTGTTCCATAGCAGCAACTCAAATGCTTGGAAATTTTTTATTTATGTCCATTCAAAAGGAATTTTGGCATGGGTTATGGTAGAGACTGATAAGGTTGCTTCCAACATGAAAAATAAATCCCTTTCTTGATTTGAGATCTACAATGGAAAGCAGGTTATACAGTTGATTCCTTTGCCCTTGGTAGTAGGACTTTCCTGGCTGTAAACAAGTACATGTATTAAAGCACACAATTTGATGTGTTATCTGTGTGCAATTGCAGTCTAGCTTTGCATGGCCTAGGAATTCTCCAACTGGAATTGGAAATATAGTTGTAATTCTCTGTTCATTTTATTGCATTCATTTTCTATTTTCTTTTCTTTTTCTCTTGCAATGTTCAGAATTCAGCTTTCAAATTGACAGCCCATCTATAGTTAACTTCAGAGATTACAAAATAAAGTATGGGTTATTCCGTATCATTTTTGTCTACGCAGTCTTTATCATTAATGTGATGAGGCTTACAAAATCTATAACATTTTAATACCATTATACAAATATAAATAGATATTTGTCTTTATATGGGTTGTTTAACAAGTATAGAATTGTAAAAAGAGGAAAGAAGGAATTTTTTAAAACATAATTTTGTTATTACAATGTTGTGTAGAGGGATTACCATTTAACAAGTCAGGTAAATAAGTACATTTCATTTTTTTGTACAATATCACCATTCCTCTACTTTCTCCCAGTTTCCCCCTCCTGTCCTTGCCCACAAGCTCCATTTTCCAAATAGTGTATAATGAATGCCATGACTGCATTTATTCACCATAAGAGATTTTCTTGCTTTAAAACATACCTTTAATGAAACTGATGCACTACATTTTTTACAAGTATTTGTTATGCTAGAAAATACTCTATAGTTACACTGTTTATAAAAACTAAGCTTTAAGCATTTTACATAAGCATTCTGTCTTACATTGCCTATATAACAGCAGGTTTAGTATTTAATGTGTTCAAAGGATATACTCTTAATTATTTTTGACCCTGTAGTAGCCAGTAAATAAGCAAAAGTGAATATAAAAGTCAAAAGTTTGATTTCAGTGATTCTTGTATGCTTACTCTTCATTTAGAAAAAAAAGAAAGTATTAAATGTTTCACGTTTTAGTCTTTCATTTGGTTTTTTGGTCATTTCTACGAGTTGTTCCAGAAGGCAAAATGTATATGTGCATCAACTTTAATAAAAGTAACTTTCACTAAAAACCTTTGTAATTATAAAAATATGTAAAAATCAATTTCTTAATAATTTAAAAATATGTAAAAATGCTTCAACTAAGGTAGCCCTTATTTCTTATACTTTCACTGAATTCTAAGTTTTTGTAAAAAGCTTTCTGTTGCATAATTGTACAGAATGATCTTTCTATTACCATAGTAACTTGGTTGCATTATTTGAACTGGAGTTATCATTTTATTAAATTTATGTTTGGTCCCTAGGAAAATTGCTACCTTTTGTAGATGTGTCTGAAAACACTTTCTAATATAGCTTCCCCAAAGAGCTTTCTGGTAGAATCTAATAATAAAAACATCTGTATTGTGAAACATTCTTCTTAATGTGCCCTTTGAAGACTAGTCTTATGTATTGCTTCATTTGGCTTTGGGCACCTTCTGATCCCTTTAAGTAGAAGAAGGAAACAAATACAGCAAGAGACTAGGAAAACATCTTATCTGAAGGCTTGTTTCATTTATTAAGCAAAATTTTCACCTGAGTCTCTTTTTCCTTCTGCTTAATAAGCCATGTTTGAAGGTACAATTTGTAGTATAGAATTTTTTTTGGGGGGGGTCCGGTTGTGGGGCCTGAACTCTGGGCCTGGGCTCTGTCCCTCAGCTCTTCAGCTCAAGGGTAGAGCTCTACCACTTGAGCCACAGCACCACTTCCGGCTTTTTTCTTTTTGCTTATGTGGTGCTGAGGAATCGAACCCAGGGTCTCAGGCATGCAAGGCAAGTGCTCTACCACTAAGCCACCTTCCCAGCCCCCTGTAGTATAGAATCTTAAAATATTCCATCATGCAGTGAAAGATAACTTGCTTTTCACTGGTTGGATTCTGGTAGCATTTTAATTATTAGTACCCTTTTCCTAAGGAAGCTTAGAGAAAGAGATTTATTGTTGAGGAGCTATATGTTACAAGCCTGTGTATCTCATAAACTATGCAGCATTGCCATGAAAGAAATAAATATAACCTAATGTTAGTTAGTTCACATTTTGACTTATGAAAGCCTGGGTTATAAAACTTTTGAACATTTTCCTTGTAAATCATGTATGAAGGTGCTTGTTGGGGACATTTGGCTGTCTTGCCTCGTAATCAATGACTGAAATGAAATAAATACTTCCTATCAGCCCAACCAGATAAACTGCAATATCATGATGGGAACTCCTCCACACCAGTCCTGTTCAGTTTCAGCTGGTTTTACCTTTTGAAAAAAGCTAGAAACTTTTCTTCTAGTAATATCACTAAAATGTTGAGTTGGGTTTTTAAGCCAGGTGCCAATGGTTTAGGCTTGTAATCCTAACTACTCAGGAGGTTAAGATATGAAGATCACAGTTTGAAGCCGGTGTAGGCAGACAAATCGAAGAGGCTTTTTATCTCCAAATAGCCATCAAAAAACTAGAAGTGGAGCTATGGTTTAAATGGTAGAGCACCCAGGCTCTGAGTTCAAGTCTCAGTACAGGCACAAAAATGCATTCCATTTTGAACTATAAAGATTACAACTCCTAGATGTTATGTTCTTCCACCTGACCCTCCTGGCCTTTCACACACAGACCACAGTTGATCATCCTAACACAGCCATTCTAGCCCATGGTCTTGCCCTCATTGTACACATGAGCAAAACCAAGGTTAAGAAATGGGAGGCAATTTCTCTAGTGTCCCACAAGTTAAGTAAGCAGCAGAGTTGAACTTGGTTTTATCTGCACTAGAAACCCACATTCTTAACTGCTGTTTCATGCTACCTCTTTAAATTTATTGTTGAAACATGTATTAAGAATGCATTGTATAATGAATCCTCTACCCCAACATTTCTGCTTTCTACTTCTTTCCCTTTTATTTATGAATGGGCATGGGAGATACATAGTTGAAGCAAAAACAGGAGTTCCACAGGACTCAGACTTTTGGTTCTGTTTTTTAAGGACTAAAGTAGATTAGACTGATTTTCCTCTCTTCACATTCCATCTCAGCAGTATGACGTCCAAATTGACCAAAATAGCAACTAGGTAAGTAATTGATTAAATAAAAATCTCATATTTGGCTTTACCTGAGATAGGAGTTAATAATTTATACAAGTTAAATGACATTGTTTTTATTTTAGATAGGATAAACTGTCAACTCTTAATTAGTCTTGTACAGTTCATATGACCATGCTTTAAAGAACTTTTTCAAACGAAGTCAAGAGTTTATAAGGGGACAGTTTATTAAATCATCTTAATTTTCCATCAAACAGTATATACATCACTAGATGAACCTTGTGTCTCTTTTAGCAATTTTTAAATAGAAAGAAAATGAGTCTTTGTAACCAAACATCTATGCAGACTCAAGGCCAATGTGTTGAGATTTTTTTATTTTTGGGGTTTGTTTTTTTTTTGTCTGTTTGTTTGTTGGTCGTGGGGCTTGAACTCAGGGCTTAGGTGCAGTTCCTGAGCTCTTTTTGCTCAAAGCTAGACTCTACCACTTTGAGCCAGAGCACTACTTTCAGTTTTCTGGTAGTTAATTGAAGATAAGAGTCTCATAGACTTTCCTGCCCGGGCTGGCTTTGAACCACAATCCTCAGATCTTAGTCTGCTGAGTAGCTAGGATTACAGGCATGAGCCACCAGCGCCCGGTTCTTTTTGTTTTTCTTAAGATCAAGCATTATAACCCAACTCCATTAGTTTTAGTACATACTCTAAATTCTGTTACTCCAGCATGACATAAAGCTAATAGCATGTGCTAGGCATTTTTGCTTCTGCAGAATTTAGGGGATTTTGCCGAAATTGTGAGCTTGCCTCTAATTTTGGGGTCTTATTTCCCTTTCAGATATAGAGGACTTAAAATACGCTGCTTTTGGGAGCTACGGTAGCAATCTTGCAGTGAGCACACTTACGAGCAGTGACTGGTCAGACAGGGATGACACATCTCAGGGCAGAAAACTCTCTCCATTTGTCCTCTCAGCAGGAAGTGGCTCCTCAGCTGCCTCAGTTCTTCTAAAGAAAGAGACATCGTTTGGCAGTTCTGAAAACATCACCATGACATCTCTCTCCAAAGTAACGACTTTTACAAGTGAAGATGCTCTTCCTGAGACTCCCTTTCCAGCTTTTACCAGTTTTAAAGATATGATTCCTCAGACCAGTGAACAAAAGGAGTATGAAAGTGGGGACTACAAAGATTTTGCTAGACAGGATCTGCCTGTAGTTGAACAGAGCCAAGAGGCTACATGCCCAAGCCCAGCGTCCAGTGCCACCTCTCATGAAACCCCCAAAGAATGTTCAGATGACTTTGGAGAGTTTCAGAGTGAAAAGCCGAAGATCAGCAAATTTGACTTTTTAGTAGCCACTTCACAAGGCAAAGTGAAATCCAGTGAAGAAATGATCAAAAGTGAGCTTGCAACCTTTGACCTTTCTGTTCAAGGTGAGTAGCTACAAGGTAGATTTTACTGCTGTGGATGTATTCCACTGAGTTGTTAGATATTCTTTCTTTCTTTCTTTGGTGCCAGTCCTGGAGCTTGAACTCAAGGCCTGGGCACTGGCCCTGAGTTTCTTTTATTCTCAAGGCTAGTGCTCTACCACGTGAGCCACAGTGCCACTTCCAGCTTTTTCTGAGTAGCTTATTGAAAATAAGAATCTCAAGGACTTTCCTGCCCAGGCTGGCTTCAAACCACAATCCTCAGATCTCAACCTCCTGAGTAGCTAGGATGATAGGCATGAGCTGCCAGCAACCAGCTTAGATCTTCTTTCTTAAGTTGGTTCTTGGTTTAGTAGGAAATATATCTTCTTTCTAGCTTCTGAAATCGGGGCCAATTGCATATTGCTCTAATAAAGGCTGCCCTGAAATGGAAGTCAAATCAGTATCCCTTAGTCACATTTTGAATTAAACACAAACAGGACATGGACTAAACAGAGCATGTAGTTGTTGTTCACTAGTTTAGAGATGTACTATTTAAAATAGCCAGAGAGGGGCTGAGAAGGTGGCTCAGTGGTAGAGTGCTTGCCTTGCATGCCTGAGGCCCCGGGTTCGATTCCTCAGCACCACATAAGCTAAAAGAAAAAAAAAGCCGGAAGTGGTGCTGTGGCTCCAGTGGTAGAGAGCTAGCCTTGAGCTGAAGAGCTGAGGGACAGCGCCCAGGCCCAGAGTTCAGGCCCCACGACCAGACCAAAAAATAAAAAAATAAATAAAAATAAAAAATAAAATAGCCAGAGAGTAGTCTGGGGTATAGATCATTGGTAAAGTACTTACTTACCTACTATGAACAAGGCCTTAGCTTCCATCCCTAACACCCCCCACAAAAAAAAAAAAGGCTAAAAAATAGATTTGATCTTCTTGTGGGCAAGATCTTTCCCTGGTTTATAGTATCTTTTATTCCAGAGGCTGCAATGTGGTGGCTGAGGTCTGTATTCATCCTGCAGGTCTGTTTCAACTGATGCATAAAGTGTGAGATAATTGTTCATACTTAAAAATTATAAATTGTCTAATGTGGATTTCTAGCTTTAAAAAAAAAGAGTAACACTATCTTGCAACACTAGAACTGCCTTCTCATGTCTTAACAAGAGCTGAGTAGAACACCCCTAGAAATGGGACATGGTCTCTACTAATTCTATCTCCAGCTGGCCTACTTTTTCATTGCTTTTCTTGCCTGCCTCTAAGAACATTTGAATTTACTTTAATCTCATCCTGACAGAAGAGTTCATGGGACTTCAGTTGGATTGAGAAAGTATGAAGAGTTCAGGTACAAATCCATAAACTAATGAGTAGGAAAGCAACACAACTGTTGCTTCAGTGTTTCTGCTCTTAGAATAATAGAACAATTGAGCTAGATAAGAGAAGAATAGTAGGAAAAATTAAAGGTAGGGACACTAAGCAAGGGAAAGCAATAGAAAGGATTCATCGAGAAGTTTTCTAGAGTGAATAAAGAGTTTCCTAGAATGAATAAGGATTGTTTCTAAATGGTTCGTGACATACTGTCTGAAAAAAAAGGGGGGGGGAAGAATTGTGTAAGCAGGAGCCTCTGCTGGAGCTAAGCTGAGTAATCAGAACCTTTGCTTTTATCATCCCTCCTCCCAGGATCACACAAGAGGAGTCTGAGCCTCGGTGATAAAGAAATAAACCGGTCCTCACCTTCTCCAGCCCTGGAGCAGCCTTTCAGAGACCGTTCCAACACTCTGAGTGAGAAGCCTGCTCTACCTGTCATCCGTGACAAGTACAAAGATCTAACTGGAGAGGTAGAGGTGAGTAGAGTTCTTTTCTACAGGGGATCAGATAAAAGACCAGCTGAGTCTTGAGGACCCCAGGAATAAATGTTTTGAAATTTCACCTGAGGAAATGATCAAGAGAATGACAGAGAATAACAGAGAGCCGGGCACCAGTGGCTCATACCTGTAATCCTAGCTACTTAGGAGGCTGAGATCTGAGAATCATGGTTCAAAGCCAGCCTGGACAGAAAAGTCCATGAGATTCTTATCTCCAATACACTACTCAGAAAAAGCTGGCACTGTGGCTCAAGTGGTTGATTGTCATACAGCTGAATGTTAAAACATCGAAATAAAGGAGAAAGGGGCAATGTTCAAGATATTTTGTTTCTCTTTGCTCCATCTTGGTTCCATGCTCTCTTCCTCCTGTAGCCAGCACACTTAAATTTCATTTCCTCACTCCTATTAGCCATACACACATTTGCACAGACATTATAGCTAGGAGTGGGAAGCCAGTGATTTGACATCAGCCAGGGATTTGACTGCATACCTCCAGGTGATTGCCTATAAAGAAAGGCTACTGATGGAAATAGCAAGGTAGCATTGGCAAAGGAAAGCTGCTATAAAACATGTCCTTCAGGCTCATTTGCCATGTGCTTAGAAACACTAATTATTAATTTTAAATAATGATCACTGGGTTCAGAACAATCAACTACTTTTATGACAAGGCTTTCAATAAAAAGGAGCCTTCCATCTCTTTATTGACAAAGTCATAAGTAGAGGATCCAAGGGTTGCCCATTTAACCCAGGTCTTTGTATACAATCCACAGGAAAATGAGAGATATGCATATGAGTGGCAGAGATGCCTGGGGAGTGCTCTGGATGTGAGTATGTACTTTGGTGTTACACCCATGTAAGTGCTCTCTTGCACTGTTGTGTCCTCTCTTTGGTTCTTTTGAGTGGACAGAGGCAAGCTTGATGGGAGTCATGGCCCTGAACAACGTGAAAATTATTCATCTCAAATAAGGATTCTTTCATACTTACAACAGCAAAGTTTGACTTATTTGTCAACACTTTCCTCTTCAGTCAGGGTGTTTGAGAAGTAACAAGACAATAGTATTATCTATACCTAAATAAAAATAGTCCTTAAAGTAGGTTCTTTAGAACCTCTATCTTTTCAGTTGCAAAGAAGTGGCAGCTAGTTTCTTTAAGGTTAAAACTAAATTCTCAGCTTTGTTTCAGTATAAGCATCAGTCATAGTTTTTCACATTTCCTTGCTTTTTTTGGTTGGATTTTCTAGTAATTGGAAATTGATTTGCAATGAACTTTCTATATAAGGGAATGTGATTTCATTTCTTTTTTTTAAAATCCTACATATTTATTCTTCAATGATTTAAAAAGTGATTGGATTCACCCCAATGTCTAATTGCATTATTTGGGGTTATTTAATCAATAACAGCATATTTAATGTTTTTTTATTGTGAACATACTGTACAGAGGGGATACAGTTACATGAGCAAGGTAATGAGTACATTTCTTATCAAGCATTG